ACATTTTTGTCCTTTCCTTTTCCTTGTCTGCAGTTAGTGGTTTTCTGAAAATGGTGATGTATCTCTGTAACCCCATCCCATCCCTTGGAAGAAGGAAACAAAATAATCATGAATTCAACACCAAGGCCAGCTTACCCTACATAGGAAGACTCTGTATCCAAAAACCACAAAATTTTATTACATATATATGTATTCTACCAAGGCACTCACCTGATCAGGGCTTAATAGCATTCCATGACTCTTAAAAATATGGAAGCTGAGTGTAGTCATATACACCTGTAATCCTAATACTTAACAAGTAAAGACAAGCTGGGCGGTGGTAGCGCACACCTTTAGTCCCAGCACTCGGAAGGCAGAGGCAGGTGGATGTCTGTGAGTTCTGGGCCAGCCTGGTCTACAGAGTAAGTTCCAGGACAGGCTCCAAAACTACACAGATAGACCCTGTCTCGAAAACCACCCCCAAAAGAGAAGAAATAGAAACAGGATCATCAGCAGTCTGTGGTCATCCTTAGGCTACTACATACCAAGTTCAGGCCATTGTAGACTACCCAAGACTGTCTTTTAATTAATTAATTAATTAATTAACTAACTAAAAAAAAAACAAAACAGGAAAAAGCAAGCAAGAAGGAGTGTCAAATGTAGCCTTGCTCAGCAGCAGGTCTGTTTCAAGGGCAAGACCTGTCCTGGAATGGATTGGCCAGCACCTGCCTGAGAGGGACTATAATCATCACACGGGCCCACAAATGTTTAATGCTCTACTTTATTGTTTTTCCCCTGAGATAGGGTCTCACTGTGCAGCTAGTATTCTTAACTCCTGAGCCTCCTCTCCAGCCCCTGCCATGAAATTTTAAGATAACTTGCTGATAATGTACATGAAGAGTAAGCTTTCTGCATATTTATTATGTAATGAGACACTTTACTAGATTATCTTGTTAGCTTTTAAAGTGTTTTAATGTGGAGCTTGCTGTATAGACCAGATTGGCCTCTGCCTCCCGCGTGCTGAGATTAAACGTGTGTGCAACCACACCAAGAGTAAATTTCTGGTTTCGTTTTATTCCGTGTGTATGAGTGTTTTGCCTGCATGTATGGATGTGTGCCTGGTGCCTGAGGAGGTCAGAAGAGGGTCTTGGATCTCTTGGAACTGCAGTTACAGACAGTTGTGAGCCACCATGTGGGTGCTGGGAACTGAACCCGGAGCCTCTAGGAGACCAGCTAATGTTCTCCAAGACAGGGTTTCCCTGTGTTGTTTTGGTGCTTGTCCTGGATCTCGTTCTGTAGACCAGGCTGGCCTTGAACTCACAGAGATCCGCCTGGCTCTGCCTCGCAAGTGCTGGGATTAAAGGCTTGCACCACTGCCGCCCGGCTCCAGCTAGTGTTCTTAACTGCTAAGCCATGGAATAGCCCCTGCTCTTTTTCCTGGATGGTTTTGATAGCTTACTTTCCAAATGTGAGGAAAAACCCCAGGGAATTATTGTCTGAGCTCTGTTCCTCTTTGCAGATTTGAGTTTCCCTAGAAGATTCGATGCAGTGAAAGGTTTCTCAGGTTCTGTGTGGTGAAAGAGTCCCCAGCTCTCAGGCCTGGGATAGGCTGGAGCCTGAAAGCCATGAGGAAGACATATAGCTGTCCTTGCTTCTGTGATTTCCCACACAAGCCTTCCCTTAGTTGCACTAAAAGAAACTCTTCAATTCCTGTGAAAGCTGAAAATAGCACAGCCAAAGAAATCTGAGAACTGAAGAGCAGTTAAATTTAAAGATACTACTTGAAAAACTACCGTAAGCCCTATCTAAAGTTAGGAAAAACAAAAGTTAAGGGACATCAGCAATACGGAGGTAGCTCAGTGGCTACATCAGGTTGCTCACAATCACAATCTGTAACTCCAGTTCCAGAATTTATGTGGTTCACAGAAGCTCACACAGGCATACCTATACACATAAATAATACATCTTTTTAAAAAGAAATCAGCTGGGACTATGGGCGAAGCTCACTGATAGAGCATTTGCCCTGAGTCCTTAGATCCCATCTTCAGCCTGTGGGGGAGTGGGGAAAACACTTTAAAAGCTAACAAGATAATCTAGTAAAGTGTCTCATTACATAATAAATATGCAGAAAGCTTACTCTTCGTGTATATTATCAGCAAGTAATCTTAAAATTTCATGGCAGGGGCTGGAGAGGTGGCTCAGGAGTTAAGAATACTAGCTGCTCTTCCAGAGGACCCAGTTAGATTCCCAGCATCCACATGGCAGCTCACAACCATCTGTAATTCCAGTTCCAGGGATCAGATTCCTTCTTCTGGCCTCCCTGGATGCCGAGCACACCCATAATACATATACATACACCAAGGCAAAACATTCATTCACGTAAATTTAAAAAAAAATTTTTTTTAAATGATATAGCAGGCTGGAGAGATGGCTGATTGGATAAAGACTCTTGGAGTGGAGCCTGACAACCCAAATATAATCCCCAGGCCCCACATGGTAGAAGAAAAGAACCAACTTCCAAAGCTGTTCTCTGATGCCACGGCACTGGCACCCGCCCCAACACACAGGGGGAATAAAATTTAATGAAAAGCAATATAGCGAGCCAAGCAATGATGGCGCACGCCTTTAATCCCAGCACTCAGGAGGCAGAGGATCTCGGAGGCCAGCCTGATTGACAGAGTGAGTTCCAGGGTAGCCAGGGCTACCCAAAAAGGCAGAGCAATATTACAAGGCAGAAGTGAATAGACAGCATTTAGATACTGTTGTTAAAGTAAGAACTGATACAATCAGCTTGGCAGTAGATGTCAAATGTCACAAAACTGACATGTTACTACACTAACATGACACTTCAGATGTGCATGCCTTTAGATACAATTATGAAAACCCTGAGGAAGCTGAGCCAAATGGAGCAAGAAAATCTTTGATTCTAACCATCATGTAATGTATGTATGTATGTATGTATGTATGTATGTTTTAGAAGCTATTTCCTTTAGAAGCTATTTGAAAAATGTTTTATTAAGATGGCATGAAAGCCAGACACAGTAGTGTAGGCCTGGAATCTCAGCCCTTGAAAGGTAGAGGCAAGACAGTCAGGATTTCAAGGTTATGTGCTACATAGTGAGTTTGAGGCTAGTCTGGGCTACATAAGACCCTGTCTCAAAAACCGAACTAAATAAAAAGTAAAAACACGGTAGGACTGATTGAGGCATGGTGGCTCGTACTATAATCCCAGGGATTGGGAGGCCAAGCAAGAGGACTGCTGTAAATTCAAGGACACCCTAGTCTACACAGTGAGTTGTAAGCTAGCCTGGGCTGCAGAAGCAAGGCCCTTTCCCAAATGAATAAAACTTAATAATACAGCCAGGCTTGGTGGCACATGCTTGTAATCCTAGCATTTGAAAGAAGAAGGCAAAATGATCAGGAATTCAAGGTTATTCTTGGCTACATAACAAGTTTGAGGCCATCCTGGGCTATATGAGACCAAAAAAAACCTGTAAACCAGAAATACTGGCCCATGCTGTGATTCTGGCAGTCAGGAGATGGAAGCAGGTGGGTTGTGAGTTTGAGGATCATAGTGTGAATTACATGTCAGAATCATCCAAAAAGTAAAAAACGAGATGACTGATTGTTGGGAGTACTCGCTGCCACTCCTGGTGACTTGAGTTTAGTTCCCAGCAACCACACCAGGCAGCTCCACACTAGCTCCAGAAATCCACTGGCCTCAGTGGGCACATGTGCACGTGTAGCATACATTCACATAGACACATAAACCTTCACATCTTTTTTAGTATATGTGCTGCCGAAGCGAGAACAAGATTTTTACATCTTTTAAAAATAAAAATCAGCCAGGCAGTGGTGGCACATGCCTTTAATCCTAGCACTCAGGAGGCAGAAGAAGGCAGATCTCTGAGTTCAAGGCCAGCCTGGTCTACAAAGGGAGTTCCAGGACAGCCAGGACTACAGAGAAACCCTGTCTCAAAAAACCAAGGAAAAAAAAATAAATGTTTTTTCTCAAAGTAACTTCTGTTCATTTATTTACTCAGAGTCACACTGTGTAACCCTAGCTAATCTGAAACTTACTCTGTTGACCAAGCTGGCCTTGGACTCACAGAGAGATCTACCTGCTTCTGCCCCCAGAGTGCTGGGATATAAAGCATGTGCCACCACTCCTGGATACATTTGTGTGAGTGTGTGTATGTGTTGGCCATGCATCCCAAGGCACATGTGTAGAGGTCAGAAGGCAACTTGAGAGTCACTTCTTCCATTGTGTGGGTCCTGGGGACCAAACTATGGTCATCAGGCCTGGCACTAAGTGCCTTAAGCTGCTGAGCCACCTTGCCAGTCCCAATATTTGTTAATTTTTGAAATAAAAATATAAGCCAGGTACAATGGCACACACGAGTAACCTAGGAATCAGAAGGCTGTGACAGGAGGATCCGTTGGTTTTTTTGTTTGTTTGTTGTTTGTTTGTTTTTTTTTCTTCAAGACAGGATTTCTCTGTAGTTCTGGTGCCTATCCTGGATCTCGCTCTGTAGACCAGGCTGGCCTCAAACTCACAGAGATCTGCCTGGCCTTGCCTCCCAGTGCTAGGATTAAAGGCGTGCGCCACCACAGCCCGGCTCCCTTGGGTTTTATACCAGCCTGGACAACACAGTGAAACTTGAGACTCTGAAAACAGAAGATGTAATGGCCCAAGCCTCTAATCCCAGTACTTAGGAGGCAGAGGCAGGTGGATCTCTGTAAGTTCAAGGCCAGCCTGGCTATACAATGATGAAAAGGTACATCCCTGTAGCAGTGCCAAGAGATTGAGTGGAGGCTGATAACTTCACTTTCAGTAGGGACAAGAATACGTACTTGTACTTCAGCTGTAAAGAAGTTCCTCTGAACAGAAATCCCAGCATGCTAGTTGTGGGAACAGTTCTGCATAGCACCTCAGCCCCCAGCTAGTCTCCTGTCTCAGTGCTTTGAATAGACCTTGTTTGGCCTGTGCTTTAACCCCTTGTCTTGTTCCTGGGTTTCAGAACCATGTGTGCTCAGTACTGCATCTCCTTTGCTGATGTTGAAAAAGCTCATATCAACATTCGAGATTCTGTCTACCTCACGCCAGTGCTAACAAGCTCCATTTTAAATCAAATAGCAGGACGCAGTCTTTTCTTCAAATGTGAACTCTTCCAGAAAACTGGGTCTTTTAAGGTAACAATCTATTTTGTTATCATACTGTTTTCCAGTCTGTTTGTTTTATTCTCCTGTCAACTAATGGGGTGGCTGGAAGTAAACAAATGTCTTTTTGCAGTTGGAAACAAGAGGTTGCACAATTTTCAAGTCCTGGGTACCAGGTTTATGACATTGGTATTTTACTTCTTTCACACAACCTAAAGTCCCTTATAATTATGGTCCCATGAATCTTGTCTAAATAAGTTAAAGGTATGCACCATCACACCTGGCTGTATTTTTGTTCAGCTGTACAATGTTTTTGTATTTTAAACAGAAGAATCAGAAATAAGATTGTCCTTGGCTACACAGAAAATTTAGTGACAGCCTGGGCCACATGAGATCCTGTCTTCAATTTTTTTTTCTTTTTTTTGAGACAGGGTTTCACTGTGTATACCTGACTGTCCTAGAACTCACTCTGTAGACCAGGCTGGACTTGAACTCAGAGATTCACCTGCCTCTGCCTCCCAAATATTGGGATTAACACAGCTAATTTTTTTTAACAAAGTAAAGCAGTTATAATAATTTACTGTAGTGAAAAATACTCTTTAAACTTGGTATAGTTTTAAGTGTACAATGTTTAGTTTACAGTACTATATAGCAATGTCTTCAGATCTTCCCAGATCTATCTTCTGTCCCACAAAACACTCACTAAATGTTCTTTAGAGGTAGGTGTGGCAGCTCATCCCTGTAATCTAGCACATGGGAGACTGAAGCAAGAGGATTGGCAGGAATTCAAAGCTACTCTGGACTATTGGATTAAGTTCGAGCCCAGCTGAGGCAACAGAGTAAGACTCAAACAGAAGTGGGCACGGGGTGGGAGTTAGCTCAGAGGTTAAGAGCACTAGCCGATCTCCCAGAGGTCCTAAATTCAATTCCCGGCAACCACAAGGTGGCTCACAACCATCTGTAATGAGATCTGGTGCCCTCTTCTGGCTTGCAGGCATACATGCAGGCAGGACACTGTATACATAATACATAAATAAATCTTTTTTTTCATAAATAAATCTTTAAAAAAAAAAAAGAAGTGGGCACGGAGGCCAGAGAAATGGTCCTGCAGTAGAGAGTACTTGTTCCTACAGAGGACCTGGGTTTCAAGTACCCACACAGTGGCTCAAAAACATTTATAACCCAGTTCCAGAGAATCAAACAGGCTCACACATCATATACATAAATTTAAAAAAATAAAGGGGAAAAATGTCCCGTGTAAGTATTATACCATTTTACCTTTACCTTTATATATATTTCTATTTAGACAAATACCATTGTATTGCAGCTGCATGTAGTATTGCTCAGTATTTCTTTTCCCCGCTTTGGTTTTTTGAGACAGAGGTTCTCTGTGAAACAGTCCTGTCCAGAATGTCCTGGAACTCACTCTGTAGACCAGGCTGGCCTTGAACTCACAGAGATCTGCCTGCCTCTGCCTCCCGAGTGCTGGGATTTAAAGGCGTGCACCACCACTGCCCGGCATTGCTGAGTATTTTTAACATTCTTCAGTTTATTGCTTGGAAGCAATAGGCTCTATCACATAGCCTGGGTGCACAATGAACAAGTGAATTAATTTCTCTGAACATGTCCCCATTGTTAAATGAGGCACCATTTATAATTCACCATCTCTTCCAGATTCGTGGTGCCCTTAATGCCATCAGAAGCTTAATTCCTGACACTTTGGAAGGGAAGCCCAAAGCTGTTGTTACTCACAGCAGTGGAAACCATGGCCAGGCTCTCACCTTTGCTGCCAGACTGGAAGGTACTTCATTTTCTCAGGGTGCAGAATAGTGTCAAAGAGGAGTGGGCAATACTCTCATTTCAGTAAGAGGGGTGACAGCTGTGGAAAGGAGTTTCCAAAGGAATCCCTGTTTGCTCATAGGCAAATGATCCAAGTGTCTATCCTCGAAGCTTCTCGCACTACCTGATCATGTTCTTCCCCTCCCAGGGATTCCTGCTTACATAGTGGTGCCTCAAACCGCTCCCAACTGCAAGAAACTGGCAATTCAAGCCTATGGAGCCTCTATAGTATACAGTGAACAGAGTGACGAGGTAAGGAGGGAGGTGTTCAGCATCACTTACTAGCTTCACCTGACAGACTGTCTGCCTCCCTTACTGGAGGCTTCTCTTTGCCTTAGCATGGCCAACCTTTTCCCCATCTATCCTTTCTTGATGTCATTAGTCTCAGCTTAATGCCGCTAAAGCCAGGCATGGTGGCATGTGCCTATTCTAGAGTTCAGGAGTAAAAGACAGAATGGCAACTGCCAGACCAGCCTGAGCTACAGAATAAGACTTTTTCTCAAAAAATTTAGCAGCTGGAGCTATATGCCTGTAGTCTCAGCACTTGGGAAGTACAGGCAGGCAGATCAGGATTTCAAGGTCATCCTTGGACCCAAGTTCTAAGACTAACCTGAGGACAGACGGACAGACACAGGTAGATTTTACTTTTAGACAGGAGTCTGTCTACATAGAGCTGTCCTGAAACTCTATATAGACCAAGATGGTCTTGAATTGAGAGATCCACCTGCCTCTGCCTCCAGAGTGCCGGGATTAAAGTCATGTGCATCATGCCCAGTCAGAAATTAAATTTTTCTTTTTATGTGCAGTTGTGTTTTGCCTGCATGTATTATGTCTGACGCTGTCAGATCCCCTGGAACTAGAGCTACAGACAGTTGTAAGCTGCTGGCTGCTGTGTGGCTGCTGGGAATTGAACCCGGGTCCTCTGGAAGTACATACAGTCAGTGCTGTTAACCACTGAACCATCTCTCCAGTCCCAGAAATTAAATTTTTTTTTTTTTCAAGATGGTTTCTCTGTGTAGCTTTACGCCTTTCCTGGAACTCACTTTGTAGACCAGACTGGCCTCGCACTCACAGAGATCCGCCTGCTTCTGCCTCCCAAGTGCTGGGATTAAAGGTGTGCGCCACCACTGCCTGGCCAGAATTTTTTTGTTTTTTGGTTTCTTGAGACAGGGTTTCTCTGTGCAGCTTTGCGCCTCTCCTGGAACTCACTTGGTAGCCCAGGCTGGCCTCGAACTCACAGAGATCTGCCTGGCTCTGCCTCCCGAGTGCTGGGATTAAAGGCGTGCTCCACCACCGCCCGGCCAGAAATTAAAATTTTAAAGAAGTTTCACTATGCTCCAACAACCCAACTTTCCTCCCTGGACATCAGTGATTTTGTCTAACACCAGTTTCCTGGCCTTACTCCCTACTCCCCATTCCAGCCGTCCTCAGCTCAGCAAATAGCAACATTTATCTTTCTAGTTTCTCAAGAAAAAAAAATTCTTTGATAAATTCCAAATACCACATCCAGATAATCTGTCCTCTCAAATTACACACACACACACACACACACACACACACACACACACACACACACACACACACACGCTGTGGTGGCTGGTGAGTAAAACACCTGCTGCCAAACTTGATAACCCAAGTTTAATTCCTGGACCTAAACAGGTTAGGACAGAACTGACTCCCAGTCCTCTGACGTCTGCACACATGCCAAATTGGGTATGATAAAATCTTAAAAAGAAAAACCAGAAGTTTTACAGTCCAGTTCCTTAACAGCCTCTACCATTACCACCTTGGTCCCATCCAGCATCAGTTCTCACATAGACTCAGTAGCCTAATTTGTCTCTGCTTCCACCCAAGCCCCCTACAGTATGTTTTCGATAGCAACCAACTTGTCCATTCAGACAGTTTTCCACCTCAAAGTTTGAGGATTGTTTTTGATTTGGTACTGGTACCTTGTACATACCAAGCACTCACTATGCCCAGTCACCAACGTTCCTAGGATGATTTCACCATTCCATCTCTCTGCCAAGCCACCTCCTATATTATCCTCTCCCTTAATAGTTCTTTAGAAAAGCCAAATATTTCTACCTTGTATACCTTCAAACATTTTTTAAAAGATCCATCACTTGTTGTCACATAGAAGCCCCTCAGCCACCCAATGAAAAATCTATTTTTTCTCACAAGTACTGAAACATTTATAAAGAAATACGAAAAATTCATTTTCTTTGAAGTATTAAGCGACTGAATTGTATTTTGGAGGACTCACTGTAAGTAAGCTATATTAATGCTACTCTTAGTCCAGGGAAAAGGTCACTCAAAGAATTATGCAAGAAACAGAAGGCATCTTGGTCCATCCCAACCAGGAGCCTGCAGTGATAGCCGGACAAGGGACAATCGCCCTGGAAGTGCTGAACCAGGTAAAATGCCACCGTTCTATCTAGCCACTAGGAAGTGGTCTTGCTGCATATATAAAGCTTTACTATTGGCTTATTTATAATTGTACTACAGGTTCCCTTGGTGGATGCACTGGTGGTCCCAGTAGGGGGAGGAGGAATGATTGCTGGAATAGCCATTACAATTAAGGTGAGCCAAGTTAAAGGACTTCCTGGATTAGGAATGTAGGACCTATATCACACCGCATTGTGGATAGTCACTTACCATTCCACCAAATTACCATTCTCTCATGGCCTCCTTTGCTTCACTGTCCTTTTCATCTATGATATCACAGCATGAAAGCAGTTGACCATGGGTGGCATCCTCGCTCCTTCCCAAACTACCAGAACCAGTCATAACTTAGACAATTAAGTCACTTATCAGATACTTTTATTAAAATGCTTCAAGGTCATATTTCCATTTCCATATATAAAGAAAGAGCCTTCAGTAACACAGAAAACACGTGTTGTACATTATGCCTCCTCTAGGTCTGCAGGCAAAGGCTGCCAGTTGGTGTACAGCCTCTGTTCCTCTTCGCAGGCCCTGAAACCCAGTGTGAAGGTATATGCTGCCGAACCTTTGAATGCAGATGACTGCTACCAGTCCAAACTGAAAGGGGAACTGACTCCCAATCCTCATCCTCCAGAGACCATAGCAGATGGTGTCAAATCAAGCATTGGCTTAAACACCTGGCCTATTATCAGAGACCTTGTAGACGATGTCTTCACTGTCACAGAGGACGAAATCAAGGTAAGACTGGGAGGGGAAAAACAGCAAGTCTAACTTCCTAGGCAAAAGAAACTATCATGAACAGATAATCAACCAGGTGACCTGTGACACATGGGCACCCAGACAGTAGCAGAGCTAGGCCAAGTTGTATATGCATACTTTATTAGCAAGCACATACATACTCATCGCAACAAACCCAAACATTTATTTCATTTGGTGTCCAGCTCTATTTGTTTCATTAATCCTTCCTCCTTTCTGTACCAACAGTATGCAACCCAATTGGTGTGGGAGAGGATGAAACTGCTCATTGAACCTACTGCTGGTGTCGGACTGGCTGCAGTGCTGTCGCAGCATTTCCAGACAGTCTCTCCAGAAGTGAAAAACATCTGTATTATACTCAGTGGTGGGAATGTAGACTTAACCTCCCTAAGCTGGGTGAAGTAGGCTGAAAGGCCAGCTCCTTACCAGACTATTTCTGTTTAAATTCATGAGGTAGAGGCTGTCTCTAAATGAAAATTGTTTTCCATCTTCGCTTTTTTGTTTTCAAAACCCTAATGGAGTATTTCAGTAAGAGCTAGAATTTGGAGACCAAGAAACAGTGTAAACCCCACTTAGTGGAGACATGAGCAGCTGAAACAGAAAAGCACAAACTGCCTAGTCACAAGCCAGACTCCCACCCACACTGGAGTCCTGACCGCAGTAGACACAGAATCACACTGACTCCATTACTCCATGTCCACTTCAGAGGCTGTTGAGGAGATCTCACTTTTCACCCATGGTACTGGTTCTGGTACATATGGATCATAAGTCCATTTGGGGAAAACTCGCTTATAGAGGTTCATTAATACTGTATCCTGAGATTTTAGCTTCCCATCAAAACTGCACTTCATATGGCCATGGGTACCTAGAAGGAAAACAGCAAACTGGTCAAAGTAGACACTTTTAAACAGTAAACTTTATAGTCCAGTAGTCCATTGGTAACACCAGGGTATCCCAGTCTCTTACCTAGAGGCTCCCTGATGTGTCCCCTGCGGCCCCACTTGGTTCTCAGTTCCACAGGCTTAAACCACATCACGTCCTCTTAGAATGGAACAGAGACACAAAATAAAACCCACAGCATCAAGCCAGTCCTCCCACCACAGGGAATCAGATCCCACACTCCTTCATTCATGCCTACCTCTGTTGAAGAACATGTAGCGCACTACTGCCATCTTAGTAAAAATTTTGAAAGGATGGCCACTCAGAACAACTCTCTTGATGACCATCCTGTCTGGATCCACTGATAACAGATGGCCTGTAGCAATGAGGCTGTGCATTCCTAGGAAAGGAGAGCTGCTGTTAATCTACAGGCCAAATCCTTCAGCTACTGCTCTAATCTGGTGGTGGTGGTGGTGGTGGTGGTAGTGGTGATGGTGTTTTGGTTTTTCGAGATAGGGTTTCTCTGTGTAGCTTTGCTCTAATCTATTTTAAAGACCCATGCAAGATTATCTTGGAGAAATGCACCATTACCTTTCTGAGGCCACAAGGACTACTGAAAGATATTTCTATTGAGCCAGTCCCCCCAAACCCACCTTAAATATAATACTCCAAGCAACACCTACTGAAGTGTGCCAACAGGTAAGAACTAGTTATCACCCTGGGCTTACATACCCCCTCAATGAGTTTGAAATTGGTATTTTTGAAAAACCACCAGTTTACCTTAATACAGTTAAACCCCAGGTTTAATTACAGAAAAGTAATGGTCCTAGTAGGTTCATTATTTACCATTTAGAATTCAACATACCATTGCTTCTCTGCTTGAAAAGCAGCACAGATGCAGGAGGAAAAGTGATTGGCGCAAACACTGTCACCACTCGGGCCGCATCAGCAGTCAAGAATCTCTGAAATTTATGTTTATCAGCTTCCAACGGAAAGGTCCCAAATAAATAGAAAGAAGAGCGAAAAGCCTTTTGAGAAACCATAAAGCAATCCAAAGGGCTGTTAGGAGCTATGTTGCTGCCACACATAGCCCCACCTTTTAAAATTATAGTAAAGGAGATCAAGCATAGGGCTGTGTATACACTAAGTGCTCTGCCATAGATCTACGTCATATTCTCAGCCTAACTGTAACTTAACCAAAAGCAGTGGTATTTAAGATTCATGTTTTTGTCTGGGTATATCCTCATGGTGTGTGGGTGTGCAGGTGCCTCTAAGCTGACCAGTGTGGCTACTGGGAATTGAACCCAGGTCCTCTGCAAGCCCCAGTCTGTTTTGTTGAGACAGGGCTCATGTATTACAATATACCTTCCTCCATCTCTCAAGGGCTAAGATTACCAGCTTCATCTTCTGTTTCTCTACACTACTAACTCTCAGACAATTTTTCCCTGCATTAATACAACTAAAAGAGAAAACCTAGTCCCATCAGTGATTTTTTTTCAACTGGAGACAGAATCAGAGCTTAGACTATGGCTGGCATTGAAAGAGTCCTCCAGGTGATCTGATCTCACTACAACCAATACTTTTACTCAGACTGACTGTGCAGCAACTCAGTCTTGAGCAGAAACATTTTCTACCTAGAAAGCCAAGCTCTGGTGTGCTGGGTACAGGACAGTAAGCTAGCAGAAAAGCTCTGTTCATCTGTAACACAGCTATTGCATTCTTAAAATAATAAAAGCTTTTTATTAATACATTTTGTTTTTTGGGGGGTGTGGGGGCATATTGCTACAGCACTAGAGTAGAAGTCAGGGGACAGTTCTCCCCTTCCATCATGCAGGGTCAAGGCACCCACTGAATGTAGGTCCTCAGGTTCAGCAGCAAGTGCTGAGCACCTGACCAGCTCCCAATTTCTTGCTATTCCAGCTACTCAGGTACATTAGTGTGCCTTCATAACACCATGCCAGCTGGGCATGGTGGTGTACCCCTCCCCATAATCCACCATTCTGAAGGTCAAGGAAGGCCAGCTTGGGCTACATATTAAGACCTTGCTTCTCAACTCTCACAAGACAATCATACACAATATAGTTAGATACTTAATAATAAATAGGCAAAATAATAATAATACTGGGAGGTAATGGTTAGAGAACCCAAAGTTCAAAGCCCTCTTAACCCTGTTTCAAAGAGCGCCCCCCCCAAAAAAATCAAAAGACATGATGCCATGTTTCAGTAAAACTTTGTTTACAAAATGATGTGATAGATGAGAAAATTTACCCAGAGCACCAATTATGCTGTCATCATCTGTCTCCTGTCACTGAAAGGCAAGTGAGCTATGATCCTGTTCAAAAGCAGGCAACACGTACTCCTAAAGCTACCAACTCTGGTTTAAAACCTACTCTGGAACAATACTCAGAGCAGAGAAGCCTCAGCACAACAGTTTGCATCACTGGGATGCTTCAGACAGGTTCAGACATCTTGAAGGAAAACATCATCGGCTCCTAAGTCAGAGTACTGAAACTCTCTCTCACTGTATTCCGCCTTCAACCGTAAGACAACAGGTGACAGACCCCAGCAGCTTCGTGCTAACCTGCTGTGTGCTGAGAGAATAAAGGCGAGGCTCGGAAGCGCCTGAATCCACAATGGAAGATCAATTCTTCTTTGGCCTTCACGGGTTCTGTGTTGCCAGGGTTCCGACTCACCACCATGTTCAATACTGACATCTGAGGACCAAATAAAAAATGTTTCATAGTCTAGGCATACAACGGCCTAACCTGAAAGGCAAGCCAAACAAACATTAGTTTCTCTCTAAGAACTGACCATGCTAGTTAATGACATCATACAGATGTCATATAAATAGTCCTTTTTACCCACCACCAACTGACATTACAGGTGATACAGGCCTTATCAGTGCTTCCACACACATGTCTAAGCTAACTTACTGGTCCACTTCTAACATTATAAGAGCTAAGCCATAGTTAATGACCTTCACATTGCCTGATCACCATATAGCCTCCCAACCAAAATCATCCAAGCCTCCACAACCTTTATAGCAGCTGTCCCACTCCTAGTGTGCATGACTACTGGCCACCTAGAGAACAGATCTTTACACTGGCATAAACATTTACTTTTAAGACTGCTAGCCCCAGGCAGGAGAGATGGCTCAGAGGTTCAGAGCACAGACTGCTCTTCTAGAGGTCCTGAGTTCAACTCACAGCACCCACACGGTGGCTCACAACCATCTATATAATAAGATCTGGTGTCTTCTTCTGGCCTGCAGGCAAAAACACTTATACAGTATACATAATGAATAAATCTTAAGGAAAAAAAAAAAGCCAGGCGGTGGTGGCGCATACCTTTAATCCCAGCACTTAGGAGGCAGAGCCAGGCAGATCTCTGAGTTCGAGGCCAGCCTGGGCTACAGAATTCCAGGAAAGGCACAAAGCTACACAGAGAAACCCTGTCTCAAAAAACAAAAAAACAACAAAAAAAAAAGACTGCTTGCTACTCCCCATTCTGATCTTTGAAAAAAAAAAAAAAACATACTTAAGGAAGTCTCAGAACCACACAGACTGCATCACTGAGATGCTTCAGACAGGTTCAGACATCTTGGGCTTAACCATCATTGACTTCTCTCTATTCTGATTCCTCAATCAAAATGGTAGCCTTTCACCTCAATGAGCAAAATGTTGTACACCTTGGAAAAATATTTGGAACTCTGCCATTTCCCCACAAAACACTGATTTACCTTCTGTTCATAAGGTAGTAAAGAAAATGCAATCAAGGGCGCTCCTTTCCTGAAATAATTAACCACTGAGACAGGGACATCAGAGACATGGAGTGTGACATACCAGCCAACCTGCCAGAAAGATGCACAAGACAATCACAGGGTTACCCTTAATGTCCCAATAGTGACAAAACCTTTCTCCAAGTTAAGCGAAAAGTGTCATCATTCACAGATGTGTCAACCACCCAGATTCACCTTCTCAGTTAATTATCTCTGATCCCTCTTTGTTCCCAAACGAGGAAAAAGACAAATTACAAGGTGGACAAGAAGGCAGATACCTCAGCTCCTTCAGCTTCTTTTTCCTCAATCTGTTTAAAGATTCTTT